AAACGCGGCAAGGGTTTCTTCTTCCACAAAAAAAAAGATCGAACAACACTCCGTTTTCTTATTTTTCTTCTCTCCTTCGATTCTTCTCGGCGAGAAGGTAAAACGCGCGCACACGAAAACGTCGTTTCAAACGGACTATGCCATCCCCGTGTCGATCTCACGATAATAACGGTAGTCGAACATGTCACACAACTGAACTGAACTTAGAGTAGGCTCTATTCTCCTTGCGTTCACACTCGTTGTAGGCGCGTTGTACAAACACGAAACCTTTAAAAAAAAACGATATTCGATAAGGAAGGAAAGAAGGAAGGAAGAAAGGAAGGAAGGAAGGAAGGAAAGAAGGAAAGAAGGAAGGAAGGAAGGAAAGAAGGAAAGAAAGAGGGGAAAGACGAGAGGGAAAGAGAGAAAGAGAGAGAGAGAAAGAGCCGAGGCGACCTGTGCGTCGAGTTTTACGAGGGCCACGTGGGCCTGGGCTATAAAACTGTCTTCTCGCTTCTTTACGACCTCACGGCTCGCAATTACCTACAGAGAACTCGTCGAGGCAGCGTGCAGTAGCGCGTAACGGCCGGCTTATCGGGTCGCCCCATTGAAGACGAGACCCCCATGCACTTCTCTCTTATTCCCTCTTATATTATCCTTCACTTGCGTGTCCCGTCGTGTCTATCGTTTTATTATAATCCCTTCGAGAACAGCGAGATCCGCGAGTAAACCGAACGCCTCGAAGAAAAAACTGCGGTCGTCGTCGTCGTTGTTGCTCGAAGCAAAGTCGAACGAGGAAAATAATCGGTCTCTTCGTGCACCGATCGTATCACCTCCTCGCATCAGGGGGGTGAAGCTTTATTGCCGCGGCTCGTGTCCCTGTTGCGTGCGCGGAGGGTGGTTGGTATCGTACTGAAGGCCTCGCCACGATCCAACGGAGGCCCCAACGGTGTGTGTGCGGTAGCTTGTCACGTGCCCGCGCTCTCTGCGTGTCAGAGGAGCGCCTCGACCAATCCCCGTCGTTCGTCAAACCTTGATTGGTCTCTCCGCCGGCGTAGGATTCTTCAACCCCGTTCCTTACGTCTCCGACGGGTTTGTG